AGACTGTGTGCTCAGGCATCATGTTCACCACTCCCACTGGCTTCAGCCCTCATCTGGCTTGCGTTGAGCCCGAGGAGGAGGAGGAGGAGGCCCCGCAAGAAGGCCCGGAGCCCGGGGCCTGCCTGTCTGACGGGCCCATGATCACCTCTGCCTCCCTGGACACTCTTATCCAGAATCTGGTGCCCACTGCCGACTACTACCCCGAGGTAATCTCAGCCCATCTGTTTATGGAAACGTTAACGGCAGCGCTGCCAATTAGATTATTATCTCTGCCTTTGATTACAGAAATCTGCTGCGTTTATTATCAACTCTGTGTCGACGCTGTAGCAAATGTCTCTCTTTTTTTTGTCCTGACAGAAAGCCTATGTGTTTACCTTCTTGCTGAGCGCTCGCCTGTTCATCCCTCCTCCGGAATTACTCGCCAGGGTGTGTGAGCTGTGCATCAAGCAGCAGCAGCTGGACCAGAGCCCACTGGATACGGTCAGCAATGCACCACACACCCTGACTGCACGGACACGAGTTAATACACTCCACACATACCCACACAGACATACTCCAGTTCCTCCTGTGCAGAACAGTGGCAGCCAAACTGCTGAATATTCACAATATTGTTTTTGTATTTCAGTTAAAGTAAAAAACCACCAGACTGCGGTAACAAAATCTGTTTCACTTCTTCACACAACAGGCAAAAGTGCGAAAATTTGGTCCCAAGATCCTGCAGCTGCTGACGGAGTGGACTGAGACATTTCCTTCTGACTTTAGAGAAGAGAAGATGGTCGGACACCTCAAGGACATCATCCGCAGGATAGCTCCGTGTGATGAGGTACGCCGTGATACGGAATTCCAAGCAGGGCCCGTACACGATCACAGATTTTAAAAATGTCTACTTGTGTCCAGTAAAGACACTGAAAGAAGCCTTAAAATTCAAATCAGATAAAAGCCGATCTACAAAGTTTCCTGTTCCTACGAGGCAGCGGTCTGCAGTATTGTCCACCTCTGATGAGGAACAAAATTTAATTATCTTCCCCACCGCTGTGACAGGGCGGTGGTAGGAGTCAGAGTGTCAGTGTGGGGTGAGCAGCCAGTTACCAGTTACACAATCTCCAGAGAGGAAGGAAGGATGTTGCGAGGAGTGCATCTATCCGCAGCCTCGAGGGAGAAAAAAGAGGGAGGTAGATGGATGGAGAAAAAAAGGGGGATGGGATGAAGGTACACAGAGAGTGCACAGAGAGGAGAGGTGGAGGAGGGAGAAGGAGTCAGAGAGGAAGACGAGAAAAAAATGTAGGGAGTTGAAGAGAGGACAGAAAGACGGGAAGGGCAGGTGATGATGAATGTTCTGCTATTTGCAGCTGAGAGTCTGTGTGTGTGTGTGTGGATACTGTATGTAGGGTGTAGTTGTACGACGGACTGACCTACAGACGTACAGTATGTGACATAATGGTACTCTCTGAAGTTCCTGATCTCATTAAACATGTCCAGACTCCATTAAACAGTGATCTAAAGTCTGGTCCTCGTGCTATAAATAAAGATACTGTTTAACGCCGTAATGTTCCAGTTAATGAGATGGCCTAATAAAAGAATATAAAAGTACACTGTCGTCCAAGTGTTACATAAGTAGTCGTTTTAAAGCCTGTTGCCCCCCCGGCTCCCAGAGACGAAACAGATTTACTGATACCAATTTACTTTTTTAATATTTTTCCAGCAATAAAAATATTTTGTGTTTTTACTTAAAAAACATGATGATGTGGTTCCACAGTGTAGCGCTTGTATCTCACAGAAGGTCCTGGGTTCAAGTCCCAGAAGAACTGCATAATAATTAATGGCGCCTCCTGTGGCAGTCTGTGTGGGTTGCAAAGACTCACACTGTATTTTCCCATTGGGGGACAATAAGGGACATTATTATTATTACTATTATTATTATTATTATTATTATTATTATTATTATTATTATTATTATTATTATTATTATTATTATTATTATTATTATTATTATTATTATTATTATTATTATTATTATTATTATTATTATTATTATTATTATTATTATTATTATTATTATTATTATTATTATTATTATTATTATTATTATTATCATCATCATCATTACACTTTTGTTTCTCCAAACAGTTAAGGTAACAACATCAGACCAAAAGGCAAATATGGAATAAATGAGGATGGAAACAAAAGGGAGCAATAATTAAGTTTTTCCTTTATCAGTTAATTAAAGCGACGCTATGTTGAATTGTAATTTGTTTAGGTCAAAAAAAAAATCAACATAGAAATAGTTCTATTAACTCGTCCATAATCAGCCACCACATAATGTGCTTCATGCAGCTGTGTAGAACGAACTTGTCCGACATCTTACTGATTGGACGTGGTCTCCTCGTCTTATACCGTATGTCATGTTATATTTTATTAAACATCATGGTAACTTGATGAGAATAACAAAGTAAGCAGCACAAGACAATGGAGTCACAACCTGGCAACCCGGCGGTTCTATAGATTTTTGCCTGTTACTGATTTATGAAGCTTGAGTAAATTATTAATAAAGTGGTTATTGACAGCACCTCCTCCTCCTTCTCCTCCTCCTTCTCCTCACTGCTCCTCTGTTCTTCAGGCCTACTGGAAAACCCTGAACCAGGTACTACAGAAGCTGAGCCAGAGGCTGGCCCAGATGAACCAGGGGGAGGAGAGCATCGTCAAGGTCTCCCTCAACGCCTCCTCCATCTCTGACAAGCTGGTGGCCTTCAAGACCAAGCCGCCGCCCATACAGAAGGACATGCTCTCCATCTGCAACGACCCGTACACACTGGCCCAGCAGCTGACCCACGTGGAGCTGGTGAGCAAAGAGGAAGGGGTGGAACGTGTAGGTTAGCCGTAGGTCACGGCAGGGACTTTTTGACGGGGAGTGGATGAAGCTCGGGTTTGTGTCAAGGACAGAAACATTGGGATGAAGGCGTCAGTGGAGGAGCAGAGGGAGAAAAAGGAACAGATATGAGAGTTGGAGAAAATCACCCTGAAGGAACAAAGGGAAGGGGAGTGGGAGGAACAAAAGCAAACTAAAACTGGCAGCAACATTTAACACTTTGATCCTCGTCTTGCTTTCAGAGGATGGCTGGAGCATGATCTTGATTATTACTTGTCAGCTAATCCAGCACAGAGTGTTCTTCACTCAGTGTAACAGCCGCCAGAATAAAAGGAATAATGCAATGAAACATGGATGAAAAAAAAAAAATCCTCGCTGCTGTCTCCTGCACATGGCATACGTGATGCCTTTGTGTGTGTGTGTCTCCATGCAAGTACATGTGTGTGTGTGTGCCTGACTAAGCTTGTACTCTCGTCTGAGTGGTGACATCACCCCACAAGTCACTGATGTGCCGGGGGGGCATCAGACAAAGGGGATAAAACCAATGTTATATATGACCTGACAGCTTCACACACACACACACACAAGTGCATAGATATGAACTGCTAAATACACAGACAGTGACATTCAATGCACATGCCATCTATGTTCACTAAAACAATGTTATCTCAAAGAAAATATCACCTGGAGGTGGTGCTATAAATGTAGTTGTAGTTATATATATATGTACTGTATATATTTGTGTATATTTACATGCATATGTATATAGCTTTACATATAAATATACATATATGTATTTAATATATATGCATGTACATATATATTGTATATATATACATATATGTATATATGTATGTATTTATCTATATATGTTCTATATGAATATATATTTACATATATTTATGTACATATATTGTGAATGTATATACATTTCTGTATATACTGTATACATATATTTCTGTATATATATTACAGAAATACATTCCGTATATATATTTATATATACATATATGCATCGTATTAAGTTTACATGGTGATTGGTTCTATCACTTTGATTGTCTTGATAGTTACATTCGACCTACACAGCCTTGTGTAGAAGTGCGATGTTCGTTGTAGCTTTCAGTCGGACAGAGGAGGATTTTTGTTACCAACCTGTGTGTTTGTACACATGTTTGTGGGCTCATCACACATCTCACAATGAGTCAGTGTGGTTTTTGATCTGCATGGACGTGTGACTGCATAGTTGTCTTTTAATAGAAGTGAACATTGTCTCGAGTGGCACTCGGAGGAAATATGACTCCAGTAGGTCGCGTCGATGACTCATTACTTCCTTTTATTGATTGCCTTCCATTACTGAAATGAAAGAATCACTAATGGGACTACCCCACCGCCGTGTGTGCTATACTGTGTGGGTATCTGTGCAAAGGGTCATGTGTGTGTGTGTCTCTGTGTTACAGGAACATTTAAGTCACATCGGCCCCGAGGAGTTTGTCCAGGCCTTTGTTCAGAAGGACCCTTTAGATGGAACACAGGTAAACCTTTATTTTTATTGTTTTACTTTTTTTTTTTTTTGGATAATTGGTGGTCTGTAGGTTAGTGCTTCTCCATGAAATTAACCACATGATTCACTTACAGGATCAGACAGGGGTCAACAAGTCAAAGGTTCATTGTCAAATGCATTCTGTCATCACCAAATAATTTCACTCATTCTTCTCCAAAGTCGTTCTCTTCTCGTTCAGCTTCCCATCTGTCCTTCACCTATTTTACTTTTTTAGCTGCCCTCTATTGATTGAGTAATTTCCACAGCTAGCTCCCAGTCCTAGTCATTTACACACACGCAGGAGGTCAGACTGTAGCTGGGAAGCTAATTAGGATCAGTGAAATTCCCTTTGGTAATGCTACGTACAATTAAGTGCTTGTGTGTGTGTGTGTGTATCACCAGCAGCCATGCTTCAGTGACCAGAAGAAGAAAACGTCCAACCTGGAGGCGTACGTCAGATGGTTTAACAGGCTCTGTTACCTGGTAGCTACTGAGATCTGCATGGTGAGTAGGAAATGAAAGAACCCTCCGGTTCTCTCCTGTTCTCACATTAAACCTTAACAACGTGACAATTTATGCCCATATGTCAAGAATGTATAATTTTTTTATTGGCCTCAAAAGAAACTACTTCAATCTGGTTTGAAAAATGTATTTCTTTCATCACTCAGTGTTTATTCTGTGGAGTGAAGATTAAATTATGACTGTACACACAAAGTAAAGGATTATGTTTTTTTCTGATTTTCTTGAAAGTGAATTTAACTATATTTCCTAGTAATGTTTCTTTTTAAAAAATCAACTATAATGCCTGATGGTGAAAGCAGTTTATCTTGCCATCACTGTTAGCATCAGTTCGCTCTTACTGGTGATAATATGATATGTTTATATACAGTATCTTTCCTTTAATGAACTAAACACAACTTTAGCAACTTTTTAGCACCCGTTTTTACGTAGACTGATTCGTAGATTATACGGTTGAGTGTAGGCTGAAATGTTATTTTCCACACATTCATCTCATTATTCTTGTGTTTTATCTTGTTTTAAATTAACTGTGAAATCTGCTGGTAAACGCTGGTTATTTGAGAAAGAGCACCACTGCCCTCTAATGGTGTCAAGACGCTTCTGCACATGATGAATGAACTAAATTGACCGTTTATACACATACATAATTATTCCTAAAAAATTTAACAACTTTTTTTATATATATTGTCACACTTTTTGTAGACTTGTTTTACACAGGGATATCATTCATTTAAACAATTCTGAACTTCTTTTTTTTTTTTTTACATTTTTGCAGCCGGCAAAGAAAAAGCAGAGAGCCCAGGTGATCGAGTTCTTCATCGACGTTGCCAGGGAGTGTTTTAACATCGGAAACTTCAACTCCCTCATGGCAATCATCTGTGAGTCTAATTCTGACATTATCTCAGACTTGTTGTCACTGCCTGCACTGAGGTTAACCCGTTAATTTCCCCTGGCAGCCGGTATGAACATGAGTCCTGTGTCACGGCTGAAAAAGACTTGGGGCAAAGCCAAGACGGCCAAATTCTTCATCCTGGAGGTGAGTTTTCTCCAGTCAATCACTGATCGAGAAGCACAAGACGAGTAATAACGTGAAGCTGACAGAGTGGTTTGTTTTGACAGCATCAAATGGATCCTACAGGAAATTTTTACAACTACAGGACTGCGCTGAGGGGAGCGGCCCATCGTTCTCAGACTGCCAACAGTAACAGAGAGAGGGTACGCACTCACAACTGACATTGAATCTGTTATTTTTGTATCTGCCTGTCAGGACTGAAATTTAGTCAAAGTATGAATACAAGCCCACCCAAAAAATTTTTTTTTTTTTAAAAGAGCATATAACAAACCATTTTAAAAAAACTATGTTGCCACTGATATAATGTTGGGTTGTTTTGTTTTTTTTTAAATATTGTTTTGTGTATTTTCCGCAGATTGTTATCCCTTTCTTCAGCCTTCTGATCAAGGACATTTATTTCCTCAATGAAGGATGTGCCAACAGGCTGCCTAACGGCCATGTCAACTTTGAGGTGAGGTCGTCGACTTTGTCATGACCCTGTAGCACCTGGTGTGAGGAAACTCCCTAAAAAACATGCACTCAGTCTGTAATTTTGTTTTCTTAGAAATTTGTGGAGCTGGCACGCCAGGTTGGGGAATTTATGACGTGGAAACAGGTGGAGTGTCCTTTTGAGGAGGACCGCTCCATCCTGCACTACCTCCACACCGCTCCAATCTTCAGCGAGGATGGTGAGAGAATCCTTGATATCACAACAGCGCAGTGCTAAAATGCTAACTGCTGATTACACTGTAAAACACGGTTCACCTTCATGGTCTCCTCCTCCTCTCCTCAGGACTCTACCTCGCATCCTATGAGAGCGAGAGTCCAGAGAACCAGGTCGAGAAGGACAGATGGAAAGCACTCAGGTGAGAAATAAAACTCAGGCGAAATGACAAAAAAAAAAGAAAGAAAAAAAAGAAGGTACATCCATCACCAGTATTTGTTTTCCCCCCACAGGTCTAATGTTCTGGGAAAGACATGAGGCACTGATGGCAGCTAGCCCTCCCACCAGCGGAGGAGCTCAAGTTCTCACTGCACTAAACCGAACTGTGAAGGAACCTAGCTGGTACTTAGGTGTTTTTTTATGAAGAAATATTGAAAAAAAAAGAATTGATGAACAGGATTCATCACGAAGTGTTACATTTAAAGTCATAATAACAATACACGACTTAAAAAAAGTGAAACATATAAGTTAAGCTAAATAAACTGGATCAAACAAGATGCTGGAGGAAGCAGAAGGAGTGTTTTGGAGAGGAATCTATCTCCACCTTCTCCCTCCACTCTGTGTGTGTTTACTCTGTGAAAACATGTTTACTACGACAGAGAGTACCGTTACAGGGAAAACCACTTTATACATGAATTCCTACTGAAGCTAGTGTTGTTTTTGTATTTGATCCCTGTTTCTTTGTCTTTCTCGTTCTCCTCACCTTTTGGTCCAAAGCCCTGTCTGTATACTTAATTTAACATTTTTATCTCTTCTTCTTAATGTAATTACATTTAGGATTATGTGTCGGGCGCTGGCTAGCCCGTACCGACCTTCATATTTTACAGGTCTACTGAAGAAACGGTCAAAGTGTATATCTGATACTACAAAGATGACTTGTAGATGACACGTGTATTTGTGTTTGACTGATGTGTGTGTGTGTGTACGCACGCATGGGTGTTCATGTTATGTGTTTAAATTATCTTGTTTTTGCATGAGAGTGACTGAATAACAATTACTAGGCTAAATCAGAAAGTTCTAAGGCAGATGACAAGGTTATAATTTAGTCAAAACAATAAATTTTGCTTGTTTTTTTTATTTTTCAAAATCAGACATGTAAAGACATCATCTGTCTTGGAACTTTTCTGACTTGCCCAAGTGTCCAACATTCATCTGTACTTTATCATTCTATAATTTTTTATTTATTTTTTTCTTTTCTTGGAAAAGTGTTTTAAAAGTGTTTACTCCTTTTTAAATGTATTGTGCCATTATTGAAAGGAAACCACAGCATAGCTTACAGTACAGCCAGTCACAGCGGCAGCAGGTGTAGATGTTGTATACAAGAGGTGGACCCTCTCCCCTTGACCCCTGACCCCATCTTTCTGCTCTTCAGGAAGTTTTCTCTGACTGACATTCAGTTGTCTTGTTATATTTATGGAGATTTCTGTGTTGACAGATGTAATTATTGTATCTTTCCTTTTACCGAACATGAAGTCCCACGGCACGACAGGTGCTCCACAGAGGAGCATTGTGCGTCTCCACCTCATGTAGGATAGCAGCTACAGACTATGGAAGGATAATGATGAACTGGAGACTAATGTCCACCTTGAAGGGACGAAGGGGAAACCTGTGCCATATGATTCCCTGGTTTTCATGAGAATTCCCATTCCTCTCAAAATTAAATGTGTTCAAATCTGTTATAGTTTTGTGAGATTGTCTGTGGGGTTTTGTTTTTGGCTGTGATGGGAAGCCATTTCTGTGGGTTTGGGTGGGCGCACAGGACAACAGGGAGTAGAAACTGTAATTATAAACTTTTCTAAAAGTTATTAATTTTGCTATTATTAATTAATTGATGTCAGTGTTTTTCTCATAAGAAGCACCTTTTGCTCATTATTATATGTGACTGTCTTTACTTTTCTCTCCCCATTGGTCGTCAGCAAACTCACTTTTTGTGCGACGTGTTCCTCAAACTAACCAGAGCCACAGGGTTTGATGTCACACTTGACATCCTAGGTGATGAATGGAATGTTTAAGTAAAACCATTGGTAACATAGCTCACGTGTTTTCAGTGACAGTCAGTACGCCAGTACTGTTCCACCTTCATCTTATTCCAAACACGCTCTCCTCTGGCAGTGATTCAGAAGGTGGAGTGCTTTCAGCGTATTTGAAGCCAAGCTGTCACCTTTGGTCTGAATATGATTGACAAATGTGTGACTGCTTCTTTAAAGTCCTTAATAAAGTCATAAATCTTGACTAAATGGATGCCAACAGGTGATTTTTCTTTATTACACTTATGTCACTTGGATTAGCCTGGAGCCATTATGGCCATTGGTTTACAATTATACAGTATCTCATCAGTTTTAATGTGACTACTTCATTTTCTGAAAAGTTCACAATAGTGGGCAAATTTAGTGTGGTTCTCTGCAACCCACACAGGCTGCCACACAGCTAACCACTACACTATGTATATTTGTATCATTTTTAGCACCTGAAATGATGTCTTTATATATTTGGGTCAAACAAATAAAATGAAAATTTAAAATAAAAATGACAATCACACGTGCTTCAAAGGTTGAGTTAGTATATTGGATTTATTGACTTATTACAAAGAAGTATTCGTTGTTCTGTTGCATTTCAGATATTTTTCAACACCTTGAATTTTATTCTCCGAGTTCCTCTTCATTCGGTCTGAATGTTATCTCTGCCAGTTTGGTGTATGTTTTAAAATTCTTAGTTCCCAGGTAAGTGCCAAACACGGTGTGGAGCAGTAGGACTGCCATCATTTTCCTCATGATGGGTCTGGACAGGGCCATCGCGAACCGCAACTGGGCGTCCTTTGCTGGCATGGTGATTGTGCTGTACCTCGCCGCCAAGCCCAAGTTCACTGGTATGGCCAGAATTATGGGGTACAGACCAGCACTAATCAGACCGACGAGTGCACCTCGTATCTGAGCACAGGTGCCACAATCGAGGTCACCGGACAGAAGAGGGTTCGATACCGCTGCATAGTACAGGGACACTGTGGACAGGAAGGGCAAGACGCACATAGGCAAGCTGGAAGTGAAGGCGCCCTGGGTCACTTTCAGAGCCCTGCGGCAAAGACTATTGGCAATCAGTCCTGTGAGGCTAGCGTTACCACTTAGATAGAGCGGCCCATACTTGAAGAAGTTCTTATCCGAGTCTGGAAGCCGTTCGTAATTCTTCATCAGCATTTCACTGATCACCTCTCTGGTCAGACCTCTGGAAACCATCTTATTCGACGTAATTTCAGACATTTTCACCCTTGCTGCTAACGTCCTCTCTGTAAAATTACTTCTTCACTGAGAAAATGAAGGTGGTTCCCAGGTTGGAAAGGGTGCAGACATGTTTTCCCACAATTCTTAGGGTTACTCTGTTGGATGATGTTGCCCACAGTAAAGCCTTTCAGGCAAATCTAAAGATACAAACTTTATTCATCATCAAGTTCACTAGCTCCATGTTGACTCCTCGTACTTTCAGAACCCTTTTTCTGTTTAGAAGGCAGTTCGTGTTGCGTTTTTAAGACTGCAAGTATAATTACGTCAGATTTAGAGGCAAGGATATTTACCCTGTAAGACTAAGCTTAGGGCAAACAAGCAGCAATTATGAAGGCTTGAGGCAGTACGAGTTTGACGTCATGGAACGTGTTCAAGAACGTTCTTTTTCGTCTTGTGGACATACGCCATCTTTGACAAGTGGAGGTAGACGTTGTTTTGAGATTCTTTCCTCATAACTTTCATTTTGTCAAATTCGACTCACATTATTAAACTTTGGACTTGGACTCTGGTAAGAATATTTATTTTATTAATCAATTGATTTTAATTTGTCGTTGTATTTAGTTTCTTCGAAACTGTGTGTTCACGCCATGTTAGCTTTTCCGCTCTCGTCAGCAGAGGTTTAGTGTAAAAAATGTGAAAATGTGTATTAGTTTTAATGTCTGGTATTAAAATGTCTGCCATTAAAAATGTCTTCTTTTGATGGGAAAAAATCGTTGTCATAAAAAGTTGACAGACACCCATTCTTGCGTGTGTTTTTTTTTTCTTTTTAGCAAAACCTAATTAGGCTAGGCCCCAATGTTAGCCAAGGGGGCGAGTGTTGATTCGGCAGGCTCCAGGCCTGTGGGTGAAGAATTAGATTTTATAAAGACGCGTCTTAAATTGAACCCCTCTTATAAAAAATGTTAAAATTAATTAATGTAAACCGTTATAAACCCACTAACATTGTTTAACGTTACGGATACTAAACTATAAAACCTGTCGTTGATAGAGGCCTGTTGACACAATGCAATAACAATCGTGTGGCGCATCCGATCCTTGTTTTTTGAAAATTACTTCTTTAGTTTCTTTAAATTTACCACGTTCGTTATTCCATATAATAGTTTGGTTGGGTATTACTGGTTGGACAGTGGTCCTATACTGAAAGTCCATATGGAATATGACAACTTACCTACATTTTTATAATAGTTGAGTTATAATAATAAGCGGTTATTTTTTTCCGTTATGTGTTCCTACAGCGAACTAGCCGATTGTACAAGGTCAGAGCCTCTGTAAAATAACTAAATGTGGTATAGGTATGATGACAGTTGGTCCTTTAAACTTTCTGCCACAGATCAAAGGCACCATTATGCCATAACGTCCTAACATAATTATGCATGAACAACTGTAACACAGTCGAACGTACAACATAGTTGGCTTTGAACAATGGCCAACAAAGAGCAGTTAAATATCCTGGAGCTTTGTGTTTGTGTTTACTCACTCTTTGAGCAAGCTGTAACATGGTAATGGGTAAGTAGGTGGTGTGGTGAGCTTTATAATCAAGGTGTTTTTCATCCATGCTTTTTAAGTCATATGGTGTTGTCCACAATGTTTCAAAAATCTTTAGGAAGCCTCTTTAGAGACATTTACTAACAGATGTGTGATCAGGATTTGGGTTTCCTTAAAGAAGAGGAACAACAAACTTGGAAAATCCTACAAGTTTGTACAAAAGCATTTCTTTTGTGTTAAACTGGTGTAATTCATGAAATACGTGTTTGCAGGCTGAAAAATAAATCAATGCATAACCTTCATAGATAAAAAACACTTATGTATTATAAAGATTTATTAACATGTTATTATTTTCAACCCACTTCAGATGCGCCACTCTAAACGAATGCGTTCTCCTGGTATCTGGCTTGATGAGTACCAGTGGGAGGAGAGAATGGAGTGTCGTAAGCGAAGAAGACAGGATTCACACAGCAGCGAGAGGGAAAACAAGTCAAGAAGAACCCACCGCAACAATAGGACATATGAGGGGTAAGTCTCTCCTTAAAAAGTACCGTCATTTAGTTTCTGCAGTCTCTAATAAGCTGGGCTATATGGTTTAAAAATCATGTCTATTTTTGGGAGGAGGTCCTGCCCAGTGAAGTTAAATCATGAAGATGTAACTCGCTCTTTTCTCTTGAGTTAACCATTCAAGTTGTTTGACTGTTTTTCTTTCTGTGTCCTCTCACTGCAGACACTACCTTGAGTCCCGCAGTCTGAACCAGAGACCAGACTCTGGGGAAAGACGCACTTGGAACCACAGCCTAGACTGTGAGGAGGACAGTCAAGGAGGGACCTGCAGGGACAGAGACCTTGATTGGCACCACTACAGCAAGTCATCAGGGCGGAGTGGTCGGAGTGGGCGCAGCAGACAAAGCAGTCGGAGGCACAGAGAGAGAAGACGCAGGCGTAGTCACTCTCGTCACAGGTCCTCCTCGGTATGAGAAGCTTCTTCTGTCTTGTATTCTCTCCTCCATGTCCAACACAAAGGGGTCATTTTCACTGGTGTTTAGACAATGTCTTACACTTGTCTTACTGTTCTACACCTAACTTATAAGCATAAATTCCAGTAATGAAAAGTTTGGGACTTTGGGCTCAAAGTGGGGGGTTGTGAGTCTGAGTGAGCAGGATCAAATGTTCAAAGACTGTGATCACTCAAGTTTCAAGAGTTTTTTTTCCTGTACTGCTGAGAAAGTCTCTCATCTGTAAATTTTGTTGCCATGTTTTTCTTCTGTAATACACACTATGTGGTGGCTGGCGCCCAATTTCTCTGACGGGGCTGAATTTGAATTTGCTGCGCCGTCCATTCGCCTGGCGGTGTTACTGAACGGGCCGAATCTATCCACCCCACACCTTCCCCCCTTGGCCTGGTTGAATGAATGACGATGTCGCATTGTGGTGGCCTGGTGCTGGCTGGCTGACTGATGGGTTATTGATGTGATGGCGGATTGCGGCGTTTCCGGTGCAGAGGAGGAGCCATCGCCGCAGGAAGAGATCCAGGAGTGTTGAGGATGATGGCGAGGGTCACCTCATCTATCACAATGGAGACATGCTGAGGGCGAGATGTATAGAATATAAACTTTTTTTTTTCCTTTTGTTGTTCACACATTGTCTCTCACTCTCTTTTTGTCTGGTTGATGTTAACATTAAATTTAGAGGAAGTATGCGGGCCATTAGACTAATTTGTTTTGGTTAGATATTGCTTGTCAGTGTTAAGTATTTAGCTTTGAGATGTATGGCAGCGTTGAAGCCTGTTACAGTAATGCACCTAAACAGCAAAGTAACAACAGCCAGTGAACCAGCCAGAGGAAAGTTGATCATGACATCAGTGCTGTGTTTCTAACTTGGACTCTCCATTTTCTGTAGATGAGATTGTGTGTACTCTAGGAGAGGGTGCCTTTGGGAAGGTGGTTGAATGCTTTGATCATGCTAAGTAAGTACAGCCCTACTTTTTATGGAACGTTGTTGTGAATTATTATGAATTCCATTTCATAATTTATTTTTATTGTACATTTTCAGTCACGGAGCTCGAGTGGCTCTGAAGATCATTAAAAACATAGATCGTTACAGAGAGGCAGCGAAGTCTGAGGTAGAAGTCCTGGAACAGCTCAAGACCCTCGACTCTGACAAACGATAGTAAGTCATCTGTTATTTATCAGCACATTTAAATTTTTGCAGATTTCGAAGCAGCAGGTATTAACCATGGATGTTTGTATTTTTCTCTCCCTCCAGTGCATGTGTGCATATGTTGGACTGGTTCGACTATCACGGCCATATCTGCATTGCCTTTGAACTGCTAGGTCTAAGCACATATGATTTTCTCAAGGAGAACAACTTCATGCCGTTCCCCATTGAGCAGATCCAACACATGGCATACCAGATCATCCGAGCTGTTCGATGTGAGTCAAGAACAAACACAGTTCTATTTCAAAAAACAAAAAAACAGCCAATTGTAATCAAGCGTGTGTCTTGTCTTTCAGTTTTGCATAGGAACAAGCTCACTCACACAGATCTGAAGCCAGAGAATATTCTCTTCATTAACTCAGACTACAACATGGAGTACAATGCTGAAAAGGTCATTTTTGTAAGCTTAAATTGAACTAAAGATTAAGCTGTGTGTGTTTGTTGGTGCCGGTAGTTTTCAATGGGTTCTTGTGATTCTTGTTATCAGAAACGTGATGAACGAACACTGAAAAACCCAGATGTGAAGATTGTGGACTTTGGTAATGCCACATATGATCATGAACACCACACGTCTGTTGTGTCGACTCGTCACTACCGCGCTCCTGAAGTCATCTTGGGTAGGTTGATGTTCAAAGATAACTATGTCAGGAATGACCTGTAATTGGTGCAACGTAATTGAATTTAATCCCTGCCTTTCAGATCTAGGTTGGGACCATTCCTGTGACGTCTGGAGTGTTGGCTGTATACTCCTCGAGTACTACCTGGGCTCTACCTTATTCCAAGTAAGTTGCTGAAAGGTTGTGAATTTTCTGTGCTGTGGTTTCCGTTGTGCTTTTATTATTATATGATTTATATATATATATTAACATTGTGTTTGATTTCCAGACCCATGACAGCAAAGAGCACCTTGCGATGATGGAAAGAGTCCTTGGTCCAATTCCCACAGAGTTGCTGCAGAAAACCAGGTAAAAAAAAAATCAGTAAAACATTTATTTATCATCACTTGTTTTTTTTTTTCTGACATTCTTCTAAAGTGAAGTGGAACAAAATAATTTTTCAAACAAACAACTGCCCTGTGTTGTGTAGGAAACGGAGATATGTTCACCGTTCCAAACTTGACTGGGATGAGCACGGTTCTGGAGGCAGATATATCAGAAAACACTTGAAACCCCTGAAGGTAAGAGGAAACTTGCTGAATATTGCATTGTCCTACCTATCCTATCAATAAGGTATTTATATCTTTGGCAACAATTTATCAGCTATTCAATGATTGGCATTTTATTAGGGAACTGGTCAGACATTTTTAATAGTTCTAAAAATGGATGGTGTTTTGTTTTTTAAATCAACTTATTTATATGTCAAACTCAGATTGCTTAAGAAATAAAAATGTAGATGATGAATGTCAACAGTGAAAGGCTGTAGTTTTCTAAGAAAACTCCATTAACAGTCGTTCTTCTCTCCTCACCAGAATTACATGGTATCTAAAGGTGAGAACCACCAGCAGCTTTTTGACCTCCTGGAGAAGATGTTGGAGTACGACCCAGCCAAGCGTCTTAGCCTTGAACAGGCCCTCCAGCATCCTTTCTTCTCCTCCTACAGAGTCGGCAGCAGCAGCAGGAGTGGCAGCAGCAGGAGTGGCAACTGCAGCAGTAAAAAAGACTGAGTCCCTCACCTGGCAAATCCGTTACCTTTGACCTGCAACCTCAAACCCAGTCTGATGACCACAGTGATGTTGACATCACCATGCGGAGTGCTTGGCCAGTGCTTCCTGTCTCTCCAAGAGAGATGTGCATTAACTGACTGTATCAGTCCACTGCCCTTTCTTACGGCGTGTGCTCCATGTGTTCATGTGTTTATTTCTGGCCTTTTGCAGTTTTTGTTTTTCATCTGTTTTAGTGGAATGATTTTCTTCCACATCTATTTATGTTTGTCCTTGTAATTTAAACTGTATCCATGAATATGTATGCTTGTAGCCTTAAAAAAAAATCCTCATGACTGGTTTTTATCATCTATATCCTGTCATGTAGCAGACCGAAAACTGCATCTGTGTATCCATTTTGGCATTAAAGTGTTATTCAGCATCGTCCATTGATTAAAAAAGTACTGCAGGCAAAACACTTGTATATAGAGTTTGTTAACATTTGTTAAACTTTTCCATTAAATATGTTACATTTTTCATTGTCATGTACAGTTTCTCAATAAAATTTAAATTGTTGACAGGTGTGTTTTACATTGTGTGTGTGTTGTGTGTACATCTACTTTAGGAACTATTGAAAGATCACATAAAAACAAAAAAAAAGAAGGGGGAAAATTTGCTCTTTTCTAAGAATTGTTGAGATTAACTGCTGTATTTGTAAGCGTAATGTAGCAGTCGCACTAGGCCACACGATGGCAGTAAAGAGTTACTAAATTACTGACTGACTTACGCCTTGGTCATCAGCCTGGCGCAGAGCGTTTAACACCAGTGTATATATACGTATATATATTTATATATATATGTGTGAACATAAATTTTAGCTCGAGAACATCTCCATGCTGAGACGTGACTTTAGAGAAAAATCGATGTAATAACAACAATGGCAGTTGTCTTGGCTGCAACTAGACTGACGGCCTGTAGGGAGACACGAGACAACAAAGAGTGTTCTCCAGAAAATTACATTAAACTCAACAACAATGATGGAAGTCATTGTTCAAGATGTACGAGCTTCAAACATGAAAGAGTGAGACACAGAACGTGACCCGATGGTATCTGACAGCTGAGAGCTGAGCCGCATCTGAGGAGAACCCCGCTCCTGGGGGAGTTGAGCTATGTGCTTTGTTGGGAACCATCAGTGCACACAGCCATAGGCTCATGTACTGTAGTTCATACAGCTCAGATGTGCAGTTTATTAATGTAACACTTTTCTACAATTTAATTTGTCTCATCGACAAAGATCTAACACTGCAGCCAGAAGGTCATTGTTTCCACAAACAGTCTGAGACAGTGTTTCCCAAACCTTTTTTCTGGGGACCCATTTTTTAAAAGTCACAAATCTTTGC